AGACAGCATGAATTTTAGCACTCATATATTCAATAAGCATGGAGTTCTATGGGTCAGGTGTTATTCTTGACATGTAACCGTAAACATGACAAAGTATCTGCCCTCAGGGAGAACTTATAATCAAGACAGGGAAGGCAGACAGAAATGAACATATCACTAAGATTTTTAACAGTGATTGTCTGAATTTTTGAATAAAGATGCTATCATCACCCTTTATACTTCATATTAATGTATTCAAAAATTAGGAGTCTCATACTTTTTCAAAATAAATATAAAACCTGGACCCTAAATAATACCATACCATTTTAAACAAATTACCATTTTGAACCCAAAACCAAAGATGATGTATCTGACTAATAATAGGATTGCAATCTGATACAACTACCCTGAGCCACTATTTGAATACACCTAGTAAAGGTAAGAAAGCAAATACCCTATGATGTGGCAATGCTAGGCATATCATATCTTAATTTAAACTCTTACTGTATGCTTAAGTACAAGAATGTGTATTACAATATTTTTTTTATTATTACAATATTTTTATGTTAGCAAAACGCCCAAGACAATAAGTACCCAACAACAGAAAATTGATAAATGATTTCATACAGTCATATGATGAATACAAAAGTTAAATAGCATCAACAGTTAGAATGAATGAAATAAAACCATAGATGTAAAAATAAAAAGATACACAGGAATTAATACAGTGTGGGGAAATATATCTTGTAAAATAATATTACCAAACCAAACTGAGTTGATTCTAACTCACTGTGACTCTCCAGGATAGAGCACACTGCTCTGAAGGGTTCCTTGACCATGAATCTTTACAGGAGCAGACGGCCTCATCTCTCTCCTGACCTTGTGGTTTGCGGCTCAACATGCTACTCATGGAACCACTAGGAGCCTTAAGATCACATCGCGGTTATATAAAAATCTAAGGCATACATACTGATATTATCTGGGTGTATGTGTAGTACAAGCATACAAACAGGACCGGGGGATACACAAATTTATGATGGCCATGGCTTTGTAGGTAGTAGGAAAAGGGTATGGAACTGGGAAGGGAAACAAGGAACTTCAATCTCACTAGAAATGTTTTATTTCTTTTTATTTATAAATATAACATGAAGCAAATGTTGACAGTTTTTCCTCTCCTGAAAATGAATATATGCGCCATAAAAATATTAATCAAATGTTCATTTTCTGAATTAATTTCTCCTTCAAATTGAAAATAAATACTTGCTAAATGTCCCCAAGTGAATGGTTTCTCTAAAGGAACCAAAATGCCAGTCCGATCAGATATGGGTGCAATGCCTGCTTTTAGCAGTCTGGCTAGGCCACTGCCAGCACACTATGTCTGTTTTGTGCGATTTATCCAAATGAAAAGACAACAAGCTACCTCTGCTTGTCAATGTCCGACCTAATTTGAAGTGATTCAGACATTTATATTAAGGACAGGAGTTTTTAAGCTTCTATCCCTGTAATTAACATCCAATCATGTTTAATTTTCCAATTAACTACTTTGAATAGCAGTGTGCCCATCACTTATTTAACAGGGATATGGCATCTTCCAGTTTGACAGCTGAAGAAGAGGAAGTTCTTTCCCATCAAGTGCTTTCTTCAGACTTGTCACTTTAAGTCAAGCTTTAATTTTAAAAAATCAATCATGTAATGACATGCTTACTAACAAAAATGTTTCTGACAAACAAGATATAATCCTGGGAAGGATGGAATAAGAAAAGACCATTTTTCTCTTAAAGTAATAATTGGCTTAGATCCACACTGGACTGGTTGAAAATCCATTCATACTTTCTATGCCTTGATTATAGATCTTGAAAGGAACCCTGATAGCATCACTGGTAAGTACTTACCTACGACTAGAAAGGCTGTCAGTTCAAACCCACAAAGTGGCTCTATTGGAGAAAGATTTAGCAATCTCCAATAAATATTACAGCCTAGACAACCCTATGAGCCAGTCTTATTCTGTCACATGGAGTCACTATAAGTTGAAAATAAATAAGTCAGTGGCACCTCCCATCAACAATCATCTCTTTTAATGGTAGCACTTCAGATCAGCAAGGTGCTTTGTAGTTCTTCACCAGCAAGTTCCCTGGTGCTTACAACAATCCATTCATGGAAGCCAGGAGTAGCAGCCTGGGGGCGGCAGGGGGATATGTATGTACTGAGTTTCACTAGAAATGTGGCCTGGGCACTTCTCACCATTTCCCACAAGATTTCTAAGGATTAAGTTTCAAGTGTCTGCCTGAAAAATTCAACTTTTGAAAGCAGCAACATCACACATGTGTAAGATAGGATCTAGTCTTAGAAATTTGCTTTCACTTATGTGGTATTTTAGGAAAATATTTCACAACATATATTAATGTGCATATGTGGGCTACATCTCTTCTGTCAATCTCAAAACTCAACCTAAGCCTAAGAAGTAAGATGTGAATTAAGAGTGTAGAAAAAACTGTTCCCAGAAGAAAGGGTAATTCATTTTGGCACTCATAAAGTGCACAACTGCATTTGTATGCTGTTTCCTAAGAGTTGGTACAGAAATCTAGAATCTTGTCTAGAACACCCTGCTGCACTTTTTGGTAATCTAGACACCCCTTTCCTATTGAAATAAAGAGCAAATGCTGCTTAAGCATTTGATATGAGTAGCAATTAGACACTGTCTATTAGACACACAGCATGAAGGAGGATAGTTTCTCTGTAGGGAAAATGCCTTCCTGTGCTCAGAGCTCTCCATTCATCAATTACATTAGTCCCAATGAAAGGAGTATCAGAGAAAGAAGAGATACAAAACATGGAGCTAAACTTCCCTGCTAGCCTTGACTATGATTTCCTAGAAGAGCAAGGAAATACATTAAGGAAATAATAAATGACCCAACCACTTGAATGTTAAATACATGATGTCAATTGTATTGTTTCCAAAGTGAATTCTGAAAGGAAGAAATGTTCCACGAGAACACAATACTCCAGCCCTCAAGAAGCCGAATGAATGTCTCTTAGGAAACACTCACAGGCTCGACCTGGGTGAGAGCAGTTACTGCCACTGCAACACTTATCTTGCACTGGAGAAAATTAACTCAAATATGCAGAAACTAATTACAAATGAAGTACTTATGAACTGTTAAATCTCTTCTTAGTCCATTTGTACTTTGTAGTTTTTTTTAGAAGAATACTTTCCTTTAATTATTACTACTTCTAAGTTTGTTTGGATTTAATCTGCCTTTAAAGTAGAACTAGTATCCAATGATTTGGAGGAAAACACCTAAAGTAGCTCTTTTATAACCTTCTTCCAGGAGAATAGAACTGTCTTGGAAGAAGGACAGTCAGAATGTTCCTTAGAAGTGAGGAGGGTTGAGACTTTGTCTCACATACTTTGAACATATTATCAGGAGGGACTGGTCCCTGGAGAAGGACATCATGCTTGGTAAAGTAGAGAGTCAGTAAAAACGGAGGAAGACCCTGAAGGAGATGTATTGACACAGTGGTTACAGCAATATGATCAAACAGCAGAGTCTCCAAGGATGACTCAGGAGGGGCAGTGTTTTGTTCTACTGTACATATATAGGGTCATTGTGAGCAGAAATAAGTTCATCCACACCTAACAACACATCACCTAATGTTCTACTAACTACTGATAATAATATGACCTTCATAACAACAATATAACCTTCTACTATTACTTCTTTCAAAAATAGAGAAACTAAAATATGTGAAATATTTTAAGTGGGGTCTTTTAAATGTTGAACATAATGGAATTCTTTCTGACTCTACGAGTTTGCACTTAATTATAGCCCCAGTCTAAGAACCTTTAGTTTTTATGACACGGCCCTGCTTAATACTCACCTTCATGAAGAGGTCAATAAAGAGATGGGTGCTATAGCAAAGTGTAGTGAAAAAACAAGATGTTGTTTGGCTATTAGAAGGAATAGTATCTGGGGTCTCTAAGGCTTATCTTCAAACAAGCAGCCATCTAAGTGAGGCATCAACTAAATTCACAAGGAAGAAGTATACCAGCCTGTGTGATCCAAGGATTGTATATAATAAAATCCAAATCCAAAGGAGGGAGTGGTATTAGAGCTTAAATGCTGACCACCTGGTTTGCAGAAGGCTCTGGATCAGTGGTTCTCAACCTTCCTAATGCCACGACCCTTTAATACAGTTCCTCATCTGGTGGGGACCCCCAAACATAAAATAATTTTCATTGCTACTTCATAACTGTAATTTTGCTACTGTTATGAATTGTAATGTACATATCTGATATGCAAAATGTATTAGGCGACCCCTGTGAAAGGGTCATTCAACCCCCCAAAGGGGTCGCGACCCACAGGTTGAGAACTGCTGCTCTGGATGAAAGTGGAAGCCCAAAATCCATTTGCAGTGTCCACACGTGGATTAAGCCTCTAGTGAATCCCCTCCATTCATAGTGGAGGGATGTGAACAAACTTGCTATCAGAGTATGTTGCAAACTTGATTACTGCAGATCTATTTAGGTTACAATGTAATACTCTATCATTTGATCTCCCTTTTGACTCTTTTAAAAGTTGTTTCAGCTTTCAATATTTGCTGCTTTCTTTGTGATTAAGATTTTTCTATTATTTTGTCTAGTCAATGTTGTTGGATTATGTTTTTTGCTTTGTTTCCTTTAGATTTGGATTATATTATTTACAATTCTTGGACTACACAGGCTGACGTGCTTCTTCCAGTAGACTTTGTTGATGCCTCACTTAGATAGCAGCTTGTTTGAAAACATGCCTTTATGATGCTCCTTTTGATAGCCAAGCACCATTTTGTTTGTCATTTTCAGGGGCCTTTAACACTCAGTACAAAGAACAACTTTATATGAAAGTTCATATTAAAAAATTCAACATCAGAGTTACTTCTGAGCCAATTATTTCCACTAAGTAAAAATTAAATGTCAAAATATGCATACATTCCTGTGGTAGGCCTATGTTTGTTACGTACTGACCACTTGCATCATTTCCTACCTGTAATGTACATGTGTGACTGTTGGTTTCCTGTAGCCAAGGATCCAGGTTTGAATATCTAACGGTTCCGCTTTGGGATAAGCAATAGTAGCATCTATCACCCACTGGAGGCCTTTTGGTTTGCTGTCTAAGAACAAAGAAAAAAGTGACTTCAAACTGGGTTGATTTTTATATCATTTGCAGTAAATACCATGGCATAGGTTACTTGAGCAGTGCAAAACATACTGATATACTTTCTGCTGTAAAAAAAAATAATAAAGGATGAACTTGGTGCTGCTGTTCCATATGATACATACATGATGAGATTAAACATTTCCTATTTGATTATCGAATGGGCGAATCTCTAACTGATAACAGGTCTATGATTTGCTGGACAGGCATCATTCAAGGAGTCACTATAATCACAATACAATTATGCACTATTAAAATCGAATTTGTATTTTATCACTCATATAAAAAACTGGCTTATGAAAAACTCAGAAGCTAAAATGGGAAACAGCCTTCAAAACAAAATAAGTCTACTCACTAAGTATAACTTATTAATACAAAGACTAACATTTATAATATTGGGAAATAAATAAATACTAGAATAAGGTAACAAAAGGAGTAATTTTATTGAAATATACTATTGTTAGTGGTTGTTCTTGTTTATAACAAAACAAAACAAAACAAACACTCCCCCAATTTTCACAAGAGTTGTAGGCAAATAAAGAATTTAATCTCCCTGCACAACAGGTAAGTACTATTGGGGAGAGGGAACCACCAGGAAGTTCTATTTACTCTAATCATTTGAATACTGTTTTTATTTCCCCACATGGAGCAAAACGTTGAGCAAAATCTGAGAGGGGAATCCTCAGAGAATGCTGACAGGCAGACTTTAAATCGCAACCATTGATTCTTTGTGTAAAGTATCTGAGAGATTGGTAAAAAGAAAATTCATTTTTAAGGAATATGCCTAAGTATGCATTAGAAATCAATGGCATATTACTTTAGTATGGCAAATTATGAAAAATTGACTTGTTTTGAAAATTTTATAACATCCTGAAAGTAAAAAAATATATAAAAGAAGTTAAAAAAACAGTAACAATAAAAATATTGCTAAAGGAGCAGTTTATAGAAAGAAACACATTTTAAAAAATAGCCAGATAAGCATGCGGAAATACTTGGGATAAAGTATACTGAAGTCTCTAACTTATGTTAAGGTGTATCAAAACAAACAAACAAACAATACATCCAAGAGGTACTAGACAATGGGAAAAACAAGGAGAAAGAGGTGATGAGCAAGCGTGATAAAAGAAAACGCTAGTTGTAAAATATAGCTGGTCAGTCAGTGCCTGGATGATCACTGCCCAATGCTTACAAGTTTTATGTATGTTTGAAAATAATTTTTTATAACTTTTATTCATCCTAATTTCCAAATTTATTGAGCACTAATTTTTTTATGTTGGATTTTTCTAGTTCAGTGTTGGAAATTTTTTACTAAAAGACGAGGAACAAAATCTCTGGAGTTCAGTTCAAATTATGTTATGTAACCTAATAAACAACAACTAATCCCTTTAAACAGACGCAATTTAACTTCGGCACGCGTCTAACACATATAATGAAACACGAAAAAGTGAATCTAAAAGCACTAGAGAAAATAAAATGCAAACAAAATACCAAACTGTGGAGGAGAATTTTGTCAGAGAGGTAAGTTCCTGTTTTTCTACCACTTCTTAAGGCTTTCCTAAGCTGCTATAATGCAAGTGTTAACCACAACGACGGACTTTGCTTCGGTTACATGAAGGCATTCCGCTGAAGAACAAATACCGCCTTCCTTTATTCGCGTACAATAAGTAAGACAACTGCCCCTATGTCTGAGACTTAGGACTCCACCAGTGTTGGCTGCGTGGACGATGTAAAACACAGCACTTTATTAGAACAACAAATTCCATTCGGAAGACCTTTGCCTTCAAGCTTTGGCTTGACTGACATTACCAGTGTCTCACCAGCAGTGAAGCTATTCTGAACTTTCATTTTCTATTAAAAGACTCTTTCAAATTGGCTTTTTAATAGATGATGAAAGATTAAGAGAGCTGACTGCCAAGCAGCTGCTTGGGAGGGAAAAAAGACCGAGACCGAGAGAGAATCGCAGTGAAATCTCAGAGGCTTTCTTTCTATGGCCGGTCCTTACTGCCCTTTAGAAACACATATTTCTGTGAGTGGAAAATTTTCATTTTCTCCCCTAAAGGCTATTAGACAAAACAGCAAAATATTACTAAGGAAACAGGGTGAGTAACTTTCTTTCCAAGGTTTAATTTACCATTGACCACTAAATGATAGCATAGTGGTGTCTTATAGAAACTTGTTGAAAAGGGCATTTATAGAGGTCTAGATAAAGACATGTACATATGCAAATATATTTATATGAGGATGGGGAAATCGATCTATGAGCCTATATTTATAGGTTTAGTATTAAGGTAGCAGAAGGACATTGGGCCTCCACTCAAGTACTCCCTCAATGCAAGAATACTTTCTTCTATTAAATTGGCATTCTATGATGCTCACCTTCCCGACACAACCGCTGAAGACAAAGCGGGTGAATAAGCAAATGTGGTGAAGAAAGCTGATGGTGCCCGGCTATCAAAAGATATAGCGTCTGGGGTCTTAAAAGCTTGAAGGTAAACAAGCGGCCATCTAGCTCAGAAGCAACAAAGCCCACATGGAAGAAGCACACCAGCCTATGCAACCACGAGGTGTCGAAGGGATCAGGTGTAAGGCATCATCAGAACAAAAAATCTTACCATAGTGAATGATGGGGGGAGTGCAGAGTGGAGACCCAAAGCCCATTAGTAGGCCACTGGAGATCCCCTTGCAGAGGGGTCTCGGGGAGGAGATGAGCCAGTCAGGGTGCGATGTAACAACGATGAAAAATATAACTTTCCTCTAGTTCCTAAATGTTTCCTCCCCGCTCCCACTACCATGACTGGAATCCGACCTTGCAAGTCTGGCTAGACCAGAGGATGTACACTGGTACAGATAGGAACTGAAAATACAGGGAATCCAGGGCGGATGAGCCCTACAGGACCAGTGGTGTGTGTCAAAACAGGGAGGGTAGAGGGAGAGTGGGTAAGAAAGAGGGAACCGATTACAAGGAACTATATGTGACCTCCTCCCTGGGGGACGGACAACAGAAAAGTGGGTGAAGGGAGACGTCAGACAGGGCAAGATATGACAAAATAATAACAATTTATAAACTATCAAGGGCTCATGAGGGAGGGAAGAGCTGGAAGGGAGGGGAAAAATGAGGACCTAATGCCGGGGGTTTAAGTGGAGAGAAAATGTTTTGAGAATGATGAGGGCAATGAATGTACAAATGCGCTTTACATAATTGATGTGTATATGGATTGTGATAAAGAGTTGTATAAGTCCCTAATAAAATGATTTAAAAAAAAATAGAAACTTGTTCAAAAGTGCCTCAAACTGTTCGTACAACATTTCCTCTACAACATTCAAGGTTATGTTCCACAGATCCTTGCTTTCTTGAATGTGATTTATTTTTTCCTGGTCATAAAAGCTGTAGTTTGTTTTTTAAAACTGAGAAAATTCAAAAAAGCATCAAGCAATAGAGATAAATCATCCCAAGAAGCAAGCACAGTGACCATTGGGGCGCCAAGCTTGCCGTTCACTCATTCCCTGTTGCTGATATATTTGAGCTCATACTGCTTTCTCCCCACCCCACTGACATCCTTAAAACCTCTGGTCTTGAGTCCGTTTTGCCTCGTTGGAAATAGAAGCATTACCGCCAAAGTTTCAAGGCTGTAATCTTCAGAAAAGCAGCCTGCACATCTTTTCCCCCACAGAGCAGCTGTTGGGTTCAAACCACCACTCGTGTGGTAAGCAACCAAGAGCTCAACCACAGACCTGACACTCGTCAATAGCATACCACAAGCAATTTTCCCAGCCAATAAAAGCTCTCCATAGCCATCATTTTAATGGCTGTAACTCTACTGATTTTTAATGTTTATTCTCTTCACTGGCCATTAAGGTGATTTCTAAATTTTTTGCTATAAATAACACTGTGATATACTTTTTGTTTTGTTTTTATTTTTTAGATTACTTTCCTTGATAAGTATTGTTAATAGTAGAATAATGAGACATTTATCAATCTTAAGGTATTTAACAAACTGAACCAAACTGCACTGAATTGATTTACTATATTAACACAAAAACATTCCTTAAAAATTAGAAACTAAGTGAAAAGGACATCATTATTATATCTACCCTAAAAAGTGTATCAGCCATGTCCATACTTCTATCTCTTAATATAGCAATTCTATTTGGGGATTTATACTACAGAAATAGTTACTTACACACACATATACACACACACACACACACACAGATTTACAGGTATGTTTCCTGCAGCAATGAGAATGGCCAGAAGTATATGAGGAAGCAGGGCAAGGGAAAGGCATGCTTCTCTTCATATACTTCTGCATTCTGTCAATTAATTACTGTAAACATACATTTCTTTTGCAAATACAAGTATTATTCATAAAGATATTTTCCTTCAGTATATTTCTATTTTACAAAAACACTATAAATTTAAAAAGTCACCAATGTACCATCTTGAAAACTCCAGGAAAGCTTTTCACTTCCATGAGGGGAAAAAAGAAAGCTAAAACCCACCATACCTGGTTGTTTAGCATCCCCTCCTGCTGGAATTCCATTTTCCTGCCGTTCTACAAGTGTACTCAGAATAATTTTTGTGGCCCCAATCCTTGGCAGGGTGACGTGTGTAAGATATGGCAAGTTATTTTTCTTGGCAAATGCCTGACTCGTCTCTCTCCTCTTCCTGAGGAAGCCCCCTTCTGGAAACAAAACAATCCACTTTCGATCTCGGCTCCTGTAATTGTTTTCTAGGTGCTTCTTGAGAAGCTGCAGCTGGTGGTCACGGTGAGACTTTCCCTAGAAGGTACACACACACATAATAAGCTGGATATGTCTTAAGGGAAAATGCCATACAACTAAACACAATAAACAGCTTCTCAATTAAAAACTAATTGCAGAATAGATAGTTTTTCTCACCTGATTCCTATTTTGAACATAACAGTCAAAATACAGATGTTATTAGCATTTACATAAACCTCTCTTTTTTTCTGAAAGAAAAACAAATCGCTCTGATTGCTGCTGAAAATTCATGCATTCATCAACCCAGTAACTACTGATTGACTATCCACTACCTGCCAGGCATTGGAGATATGGGAATAAATAAGAGGTCTCTTCAGAGCTTCTACTCTAGGGACAAAGACTGCGGAGCAGGAGTGCACACTCAATTCATGAAATGTATTGGGTAAGAGGTTAGAGAGGGCCAAGAGGGGTCAGGGAATGCTCTGAGGAGCTAACCAGTTATGTTAGGGAATAAGGCCTGTGCAGAGGAGAGGGAAAGTGTCCCTGACTGTGAGAACACAAGGCCTGCCAACCTAAGGTGAGAATCAGGTTAGCACAGTCCGAGGACAGTGTAGCTGAAACTCAGCGTGAGGAAGACAGTGATAGGAGACGAAATTGGAAAGGGAAGCAGAGAAGAGCCTTTTGCATGATTGCAAGTCTGAAGACATGTTAAGAGTTTTGAACAAGAAAATCTCAAAATCTTATTTAAAGTTAGGAGACTATTCCAGTAGTCTCAAAAAACCAAAACCAAACTCATCGCCATCAACTTGATGCTGACTCCGAGACCCTGAAGGAGAGGACAGAATGGCCCTTGTGAGCTTCAGAGACTATTTAATGGGCGTAGAACGCCCCATCTTTCTCCTGAGGAGCAAGCAGCTGAACGACCATGTGGATTGCAGCCCAATACATCACCATTACCCCACCACAGCGATTTGATTAGGATGTATTGGCATAAACTGGCCACATTCAGGACAAACATCGAAGGTGGTGATCATACAATACAGTGATGGACTAAGGTCTCATTTGTGAGGGACAGAAGAGAGAATGTCACTTAGAAACTGTTAAGATCCAGAAAAATTTGTAGGAAGAACTCACAACTATTTTCACATGTTCTTCCTTTCAGGCCGATCAATTTGTTCATTTTTTTCCAGCCAACACAATTGCAGAAACTCTTCCAAATAATTAGCATGCTTTCAGTCTTTAGATCACATATACTCCAAATATAAAACAAGTTATGCATTTTCTTAACTGTTTACTATACTGAACCAATTCTGATTAAAATCGCTATTATGTTGCCAAGACAACTTGTAAAATATTTTTACTCTTCTTAGAAATATGTCAAAATGGTCTCGAAAGAGCAGAAAATGTCCCCAGAGATCTTTTTTCCTCCACTTCCTTCAATTAGTATAGATTTTTATTATTAATCTGTCAGGGGGGAAATGCTACTCTTTAGAAATGAATTTATAACTCTCTCAGATATTTTCAAATGTAGTCCTTCAGCATACAAAAGTTTACTCTGTAATTAACAACTGTTTGGGGATACATAATTTTTTACATTTATCTTCCTCAAACAAAAAATTCATGGCTGGTGAGTTGGTTGTGGCTCAATAATCCTACAGGACAGAGCAGAACTGCTCCACAGGGTTCTGAAATGAAATCGTTATGGGAGCAGACAGCCTTATCATTCTCCCACAGAATCCAGGGCTCCTTCACCCCCTCTAAGCATACTGATAAGTTAGTATAATTTAGCCTCTTCTTGTTGCCTAAGAATCACCACTACAGTCAATTGTTTTACAGTGAAACCTGCAGAAGCTGGAGCCTGTGTAAGGCAGAAACCTGTCAGAAAAGGAAAACAAACGCACATATTTTTCACTTACAGAGAGCAATGAAGTAGTAAGCCTGCACTCTGTCAAAGGCAGAAGCCTTAGCAGACCTGGAAAAACAAGGCAGCTCCATTGAGTTCTGATGCTCACAGGTTTCACTGAAGTACGGTATAAAGTCAATATTTTCTGACTCCCGTGATGTTCAGGAATAAGCTAGTTTTCCCACTGACTACCCATAGACTCGGAAACCCTACATGAATCAGAAACAGGTCAATGGCAGTGGGTTTGGTTTTTTGGTTACCCTGGACAACTGCCGTTACTGTGTGATTTGGAGCATCCAGAACAGAATAGAAACTGCCTCACAGGCTTTCCTAAGCTGAATCTTTGTAGGCTTTCCAGGGGATGGTCTGTGGTCTTCCTCAGCAGTGCTGCTCTGAGATCGGAGATCAGGCTGCTGGAAGAGTAAGTAGTTCTGACTACTGCCTATTTTGGTTTGACCTTGTGGCCAATTCCCACTGGCACTCCTTCCTGAGGTTCCAGTGCTACCTTCTACTACCACTGCCATTCATCTCTCTGTCAGAAGACGTCTCTGGGCACAACCAAGAGGATTTCCAAAGGAAACAATATAGCTATAGGACAGGCGAAAAAATTACTATGTTCTATACATAAATGTCTTGTATGTGTACTTTATGGAAGCATGTCCACAGAGTTCAGAACTTTTTCTGAATATATAGTTATTACAAGAGGCTTAATTTTATTCACCAGTTATTCCTTAAGTACTTATTATATGCCAGACAAAGTACATGTAATAAATTGAAGTAGCTAAGTATATAAAAACCAAATAAATGTGGTACTATCATACATTAAAAAGTCATGAGTATCATACTTAATATAATAATCTCTCCATTGGCATATAGAATCTCAAGGGATGCTTGCTAATTTAGATACCTTCTGAATCATATAAAAATGACTAATAAGTAAAATTAATAGTGATAATACAAATGATGATGTTGGTGGTAATCAAGACACAAATGATGAAGGAGGCAGGAGATAGTTCTAAGTTCTTTAGGGATATATTACTTAATTTAATCCTCACAGAGGCCCAAGAGTGGAGAGTGTTACCTATAATAATCATTTGGAAAATAAACTAAGAATTGGGTTAACGAGGATATGTGATAACTCACTGCCACAGACTCAATGTTGACAGCCCCGTGTTTCTCCTGCAGAGCATCTGATGGTTTAGAACTGCTGACCTTGCAGTTAGCAGCCCCGAGAGTAACTACTAAGCCCGCAGTTAAGTGCTTGCAACTATATTCTTTAGGTAGGGCAGGAGGGCAGAGGCTAGAACATCTGCATTGTTAGTCTTTTGAGACTTATGTATACTCAAATTCAGACAAAAGTAAATGCTTTAGGGGAGTCAAGGGTCAAAGGACTATGAGATACTAGAACTGGCTCTTGCTATTATATTTGGTCTTGTTATGCCTTCTTTTAGAATCAAGGGTGTTTGATAAGGCTATTACCACGACCCCAGCCCCCCACCCCCCGAAAAAAGTTACTTACCTGTCTTATAAAGAAGTCTCCATGAATTAGAGAAACAATTCCAAAATTTGTATACTTAAAAATATGATCCATCAACCACATCATTTGAACAACCACCTAAAATAGTTAAGAGAAAGAAATAATTGAATGTTGGTTAGAAGAAACCTGACTAGTTTAACCAAGGTTCCATGTTATAAATATAATCACCCAAACATAGTCAATCTAAATACCTTAAACCTAACATTATAAAGGTTCATCCAAAAGTTTATGAAAAATAGAATTAAATAGGTAACAGATTTTTTACCATGAACTTTTAAAGCCCCCTCAAATTTCTGTGAATACATTTATTAGAGGAATCGACCTTAAAAATTAGAATAAACAATCTGGTGATTCTTATATAATTTCTAAAATGATTTTGGAAAAATACAATAAAATAGTTAAAATGATCAAGTGAGGGCCATATGTTTACTTTAATAACTACTAAAACTTTTTCTTTACAATGTTATATTTAACCTCAATGCCTAGGATAATGTCTAAAATAAAAGAATATTCAACTGCTCAATTCATAAATTGTCTATAAATCCTATTACATTATTCAGCATATTGGTTTGTTTATTCAAAGTCATATTCCTTGCCAGCATAAAACTATTTAGAGTCTCAATTCTTAAATGCAGATATACTAATCCATTGCCAGTAAGTGTGAAAACCCACAATGAGAGCAGACAATGTTATTTCTAGAAAACTTCAGAATGAAAAGTAAATGTAAACTGGGGTCTAATTAATGGATTGGTTAATTGTTCTTCCCTGCTGAGGAAATAGCATTCCTTGTTCTGAGCCTCAGGTAAAGAGAAAGCTATAACTTCAATCAAGAATGCAACAGAGGTCTACTATAGCTCCCATAGCAACAATGAATATAAGCATCATCTCTAAGAATTAAAACATGAGAACTTATACAAAAAATTCATGGGAAAACAGAACTAAGATAACAGCATTTTCGAAGCTTCTTTGTATAAGGAAAAGGCTAAGTGTTGACACTTTTATAATTAAAGGACATGTGCTCCACTCCACACTCCCCCCATCATTCACTATGGTAAGATGGGGGGAGTGCGGAGTGGAGACCCAAAGCCCATTAGTAGGCCACTGGGGATCCCCTTGCAGAGGGGTCTCGGGGAGGAGATGAGCCAGTCAGGGTGCGATGTAACAATGATGAGAAATACAACCTTCCTCTAGTTCCTAAATGTTTCCTCCCCGCTCCCACTACCATGACTCGAATTCTATCTTGCAAGACTGGCTAGACCAGGGGAGGTACACTGGTACAGATAGGAACTGAAAAGACAGGGAATCCAGGACGGATGAGCCCTATAGGACCAGTGGTGTGAGTGGCAAAACAGGGAGGGTAAAGGGAGAATGGGTAGGAAAGAGGGAACCGATTACATGGAACTGTGTGTGACCTCCTCCCTGGGGGACAGACAACCGAAAAGTGGGTGAAGGGAGACGTTGGACAGGGCAAGATATGACAAAATACCCATTTATAAACTATCAAGGGCTCATGAGGGAGGGGGAAGTGGGGAGGGAGGGGGAAAAATGAGGACCTAATGTCGGGGGTTTAAGTGGAGAGAAAATGTTTTGAGAAACGATGTACAAATGCGCTTTACACAATTGATGTGTGTATGGATTGGGATAACAGTTGTATGAGCCCCTAATAAAATGTTAAAATATACATATATATATATGGACACACACACACACACAAAAAATAATAAAGGACATATGCTCGGTGAAGAACTGATTTACCAGTCCATCTACGCAGGAGGAAATAACCCCCACCCTTTCATTTTTCATTCGTTTTGCTTTGTGATCACTTTGTTGAAATAAACTGAGATTTTAACAAGGGAATTTGCAAAAATGTACAAAAATCAAGTGAATGTCAATGTATACCACACTACAGATCTTTACAGTACAAACTTCAACTGCCATTGAGTGAACTCTGCTTAAAATGCCAACACGCAAATCACTTGTCTTATGTTTAACTTTAAGATACATTGGTGGAGGGCTGACCTCCTTAGTTAGAAGAATCATCTAAAACAAGACTCTCAGAGCCAAACTATCTTGTTGAGATACCTATGGGTAATTCTCATGTCTGAAATTTAGTTGTACAAATGTCCCTCTCCAATTTATCTTAAAGGAATGTGTAGTAATGTTACCACATGTTTATTAAGCGTCTAATAAAGTTTTCGACAGGAAAAAAATTCTTAGTTTCACCTTCAGTTGCCAAAAACGTATCATGAATTGCATAAAAACATGCAAGACTCCTTGATTTACTGAACTTACCAAAAAAGGGCCCAGCATGTTAATAATTTGTTTCATAGTCTTCAAAGAATGGCTATCCGCAAATGGCAATCAACTTTGTCTATGATAGACCTGTCTCTCAGAATGTAGCTAAATATTTCCAAAAATATTTTGGTATATTTCCAGAAGGAGTTTCTAAAAGATAATTGCTGGTCCATGCAATCATTCAATATCTGGACGTTTGGACATCTAGAAACTCCATTATGTCCTTCTGAAACTATGGTCAGGCCAAGGGTTCTTCACTGGGTATGTGGGTGGCAGCTGATGGCCAGGACATTCCATGCAATGGCAGAGAGCTCTACCAAAATGTCAGCCAATCTCCCTTGAAGGAACATTAGCGGGTGCTCTAAGAAGCCTCCCAAATTCATAAGCTACGTTACATCACATCACATTACCATTTAACTATTATTATTATTATTTTTAACTTTTTAACTGGCCTCAAATCTAGCATTATGTAGTATGCTATAAACAAACAAACATGTAAAAGTTGGACATTGAACAAGGAAGACCAAAGAACAGACATATTTGAATTACAGTGCTGGTGGAGAATATTGAAAAGTACCAGGGACTGCCAAAAGAACAAACAAATTCTGCCTTAGAAGTACAACCTGAATACTCCTTAGACAAGGATGGTGTGACTTCTCATGTACTTTGGACTTGTTATCAGGAGGAGCAGTCCCTGGAGAAGGACATCATGTTTGGTAAAGTAGAAGGGTAGTGAAAAAGAGGAAGATCCTCAATAGGATGAATTGACAAAGTCCCTGCAGCAATGGGCTCAAACATAAGACAACTGTGAGGATGGCACAGGACTAGGTGGTGTATTGGTCTGTTGCACATATGGTTGTTAAGAGTTGGAACTGACTAGACCACACCTAAAAACAACAACTCGGAACTATCACTTAATATTGCCCTAGACTTAATGGGGGTTGGGGATAAGAGATTACAATGTGCTGCTACTGTATTTCTGTATTACGTCTTTATGATAGAAGGCAGTAAATTCTTCTAGATTATTCAGAAATATTAAGGCCTTCTAAAAAATTCTTAAATTATTTTACAGCACCTAAGCTTTTTTGTCGTCTTGAAGTGACAGAATAAGATAAAAACTAGTAGTAGTGAGTTAACCAATCTGTGCATATCTTTTTGTTATAATTTAGAAAAGCATCTTGGATATGGAATTATTAATCCACCTTTGAGCAGGAAACATCAAGATTGGTTAGGTTGGTGGCAGAAGGGCAGTGGGAAGAGCATATGCAAGTGTGTCCGTAATTGCACTTTGATGATAACCTTTGATGTATGTGTGTGTGTCTCTTGGCAATACTATGAAACATCTTGGTAATACAGTATTTTAACGGTTTTGAATCTGATAATCTTCTGATAAGCATTACACCTAGTGTCTTCTTGCTTTATGCTTCATTTTAAATCAAGCATTAAGAGAATGTAGTATTTAAATTGTAACTTCTCACATCCTTATTTAGAGGTGTTATCATTTTTGTATTTTATGAATTTTTTTCTCCCTTCTAAAGGATTTTTCTTGTTGCTTTTTCTGATTGAGTCAGCATATTGTATTCTTGCTTGTCACAATACTCATGGCTTTGGGACTCTGAATTGGTAAATATTCATGCTGTGTGAAAAAGAAAAAACAAAACACGAATCCATGATGTGTGATGACCTGAGCCATTTACAATTGTGTGCTCTATCATTTATACACATGCATAGGCTATAGAAAGACATGACAAACTGTAACTATCAAATCATCGAAATTATTTTGGATGCCTTCTGTGTTCTTTGCTTTCAGCTCTTTGCTTCAGTTTCTATAATGCACAAAAAAGCTTCAAGAGGGAAAAAAATTTACTGTATTTTAAAAAATTGTATGGAGTCCCGATTGCTTTTGGAATAAAAATAGATTGCTGACATCTCAAAAATAAGTAAATAAAACCACATCAATCTGAAAATAAAAACTTTTTTTGGACAGAAAAATGAATCTATTGGCTCAAATCATTTTACAAAAGCAAACAAACAGACCGAGCTTTCTTTTGTCCATGTGATCAGTAAATCGCAAATAACCTAACATTCTAGGTGGTACAGCTAACCAAATGAAGTTAAGGGTACAGTCAGAAATACTTTTATTGATAACCACTGTGTAAGCCCCAGAATAATCGATGTAAATGAAATTATGTCAATAATGAAAGTGTTGGCTAACTGGGGTTCCTCCTGAACAAGAGAAACAAACTGGTTTTTAAATTTTTTAAACATTAAATTAGACAAATATTCATTTAAATGCAAATATATCTACAAAGTGATAATCCTTACAATCAAGATTCTGAGCATAAAAAAGGAATGAGTTTATTCTATGTTCTAGCAAAATCATGCCTCTGTTGTTGAGATGAGAAAAACAGACTGGTTCAATCACAAAGCTGCTGAGTCAATCCCAACTCCTACTGACGCTCCAGGCCGAAAGAGGGCCGCACCATCGGGCCTCCAAAGTTGTGGACTGTTGGGAAAGCAGACTGCCTCACCTTTCCCCCATGGAGAAGTTGCTGGGCTCTAACTGCCAAGCCAACCCACTTGCCACCAGGATGTGTCCTCAGTAATCAAAGTGAAGCAATTTCCCTTTCATTTCACTTCTTTTCTGGCCCCACCTGACCTACATGGAAATCCCTGAGGTTTCTAAGGCCTAAACACAATAACAGGCTTATTCCTACCTCTTGTGATTTTGCAAGGATTGTTTCATTGAGGAAGAAGTCCTTGCTGCACCGCTCTAACAAGATCCTAATCACAAGGCTTTCTGTGTTGATCAAGTCATGTTAAGCTCACGCTACAATGAATCTCTCTTACTTTGCCAAAAGCATTATTTGTGACACTCTCCCTCCATGTGCTACAGGACTATATGCTCCTTAGAAAATGCTGGTGCCTCATACTTCTTACATTCATTGACCATGAATATTAAGCACTTAGTAAAGATCTATCGATGTGTTCTTTACTAATAATAATTCCATTCATTTTGTACTCTTCCTATTGTTTTGTTGTCTATGAAGATAACCTGTTTAACTTTTCGTATGATAATAATGCCAAAGACTGAGATTCATTTTAAATCCATTCAATTTATACATATATTTAAGTTATCAATATAAGCAATGTCAAATCAACAGTTCAATCTGAAAAACACTGGCTAGCTTGAGCCTCAAGTCTCCCCTTTTAATTTACTTTACAAAATAAAATCTAAAAACATGGTTACCTCTTTTCTTCTGGCTGGAGACTCCCAAGATCACGTACTTCGCTAACTAAGCAGCACTTATTGTGTGTGTTCATCTGAAACTGGAGATCTCCCATTGTACTTCAAGACAGCCCCCAATTTGAATTACATTGACTTGGCTTTCAACTGAGTTACTTTTCTTTAAGGTCTAAATTTCTCAGAAAGTGATACATATTAAAACTTAAGCATATGATCCAAAGAATACTAAAATATTTGATGTGACCATTTTTTAAGGAGGGGACAAAAAGGCAAAGGAACCAAGTAGGTACCATTCCTCCCCTCTCTGCTGCACCTGTGGCCCCAGGGTGGCTTACCAGGCCTTTGTCTTGTAAACACATCATCAGAGTGCACACATCACCTGTTGCTTGATGATTCACCAGCATTACTGCCTCATCCTTTGAAATCGCTTTAATGTCTTCCCCCCATTCCATCACTGTAAGAACAGAAAAGTTTCCAAGTTGTCATTTTAAAGATCTTCTATTACTAGAAACCTAATTTTACGGGGACGGGGGAGGGAATGGTATACAGATTAGTGATGATACATCATCTAAATTAGACTTTAGAGAGATTCAGAACTATGTTTAATTCCTATAGAATCCTGAACATTAAAAGATCATTTACCTAGCTTCCAAATATTCATTAAAATGTAAAGCGTCATACTTTTGACCTAGAAATTGAGGTAGGATGATTCCTATAGAAATTTGAGTCCAATAAGCAATGGTACATGTATAAAGGAAGTTTACTATTATTTTCAGTAAAGAAAAGGATGATAAATATAGTAGTATAAATCCATCAAAAAGATGGATAGAAAAAATATGAAGTCCCCCCCCAGAAGAATTTATTTGAGAGGACAGCACTGAAGCTGCAGCTCTGGGAGAGGGGAGAGGGACTTGTCTGATCAGAGCACATGGAAGTAAATGAAAAGGGAGGGAGAGAGAATGGAGCACATCCTGGCCCACCAAGCCTTGACAACGAGATTCCGATTCAGAGCAGCCAATACACAGAGAAGACCATATGCCCGGCCCCACTATGAGACACGACATCCCTCACTGACCCATACGCCTACAGGGGACAACACTGGAGACACAGTGTGGGAATTGCAACTGATCTGATCCCACCACACCGAGGCAAAACACTAAGAGCGTGCAACAGAATAGCAAGGGGAACAGAGCAACGAGGTCCCCAGGGACCAAAAACAGACTTTGGGGCCAGGGCTTGGCACCCCATCAGACTTGACATGAAAACACTCCTGAAGGGCAACAAACAGTCTTTGAACTAACTCCAAGATTTTCTTTTTTGTTGTTGTTGTGTTGTGTGTTTTTTTTTGTCATTGGCTTTTTTTGGTTGTTGTTTTTGTTTTCTTTTCTTTTATTGCTTGGTTTTGCTCTGCCATGTTTTTGTGCATGTTATTATCTCCGCATGTCTGTCTAAATAAGATAGGCTGGATGAACAATCTGGAGGAGAACACAATGGGACCGACAGTTCCAGGGGGACATGGGAAAGGGGAAAGTGGGGGGAAAGGAAGTGGTGCTAACAAAACGGACAAGGGAACAACGAGTGATCGAAATCAGTGGTGAGGAGGGTGTAGGAGGCCTGGTAGGGAGTGATCAAGGGTAACGTAACCAAGAGGAATTACTGAAACCCAAATGAAGGCTG